TGCAGCGTTACCGTTTTCCAACAGCGTTAAACACGGCCAAACGAATTCGATAAATTACCGCAACGAGAGAAGACAAGAGGTGGAAAGGGATCGGATCAAGCGGAACACGGTAGCGTGATGGTTAAACAAGCGTTAAACGCGCGTTTGTTTACCTGTAAAATACGATTTACCCCGTGTAAAAGTAACTCGCGGACTGTTGCGACCTGATGAGGACGCAACGAAGTCTCGGTTCGGCGGATTATAGCAATAAACAACTTTTGGCCGCCAGACCGAGGGGCCGACGTTCGGAAGACCGCAATATACCCCCCGTGGACGCACCAGCGCGACACTTAGACAATAGGTCCCAAAAACACTCGGGACCATAAAACATTCGTTACCAAAAGGTCACAGTTTTCGTCGACCAATAGCCGAACACACCACGTTTTCCACCTCCATAACACAACCACCAATCAGAACCAACCTAATGCCTATACATTCATCTACACACCTGAAAACCGACAATCACAGTAAAACGAGTGCACGAGACACATCGTCAAAAAAAAAAAACAACCGAATTTCAACTAAACATCTACCAAATATCTACAACGAACCGAAAGAAAAACATCTAACCCAACAACCAAGTTTCAATACCCTCGAACTCCTGGTCATAAGACTTGATCAAAGTCCTCGACGCAACACGGACAAATATGAGAAAGAGGTCGAAACGAGATGTTGGTCGCGAGATGAAATTAGGGGAGGACGATCACTTGTAAACGAAATAGATCCGTTTAGTTGGTATTATGCATTGCGACGCGTAGATATAATCAGGTTCCACACACGGCAAATAACATCGATTCTCGGCGGTCGCTATTATTGGACAAAGTGGTCGGACAACGTGGAAGCCGCAGAAGCGATTTTCCTTTCGTACCTGGGTATACTCGGGATTTATCAAGTGATTGATTCCAATCAGTTATCCAACTGTTTATCGAATAATCAATGCCGTTGTCTGTTCCACCAATGCATAGGAAATTACATTTCACGGACAAGCAAGTGAACGAGCCTTCGTCACAGAAAATTTATATATACAGACCCTGTTGATCTACCGTTTCATTTAATACAGACGCGAAAGTGGAACAAATCCGATGGAAATCGCGAGAAAAAGAAAACCGCGACGCGAGCCAAGAACGCTTTAAAATAACCACTCTGTTAACCTTTAAAGATAAAAGAGGAAAAGGGGTCTTTCGTGTTTCTTCGTAATCGCGTTTCTATTTAAGCAAGGTTTCGCAACAACGCACCAGTTGATTTGAATATGTAAATAAAAAGAGAACTACTCGACTATATTTCTCGCGTAAAAAAATAACGCAAAAATAGTTGACCGAAAATATCGTTTATTTCGACGCGTTCGATGGAAAATACGTGAAAATAACACTTGGAAAAATCCTTCGATCGCACTGGTCAGCAGCCACGCAGTAACGTAGTCCCAATTCGAGCGCCAAATTGTCATGAAAAATGCAGGGAATATACCTAACCAATCTCCCCGAACGTTCGAAAATTAGACCCTTGTTCGTGAAACAAGCCAACAGAGCGGCGGCGGTAACGTATCCAATTCGAGCGCCAAATTGTCATGAAAAATGCAGGGAATATACCTAACCAATCTCTCCGAACGTTCGAAAATTAGACCCTTGTTCGTGAAACAAGCCAACAGAGCGGCGGCGGTAACGCAGGACGAGGGAGACAAACAGCGTAGTAAATCGTGGAGAGGAAAGAATGACCGATGCTAACGTATAGACGGGCAAACAATATTATAAGCTAATTTCCGGGAATCACGTGCCGTTTGTTCGTTACGCAGGTACGCTTGTGGATTAATTTCATCGAAATGGCGCAATAGACCGCTGCAATATCAATTTGACTCCGCACATGGCTCATCCTGGCTCGTGGAATTGTAAACAGACGCTGTTCGACGAAGGGGGAAGGGGAGAGGATTCTCTCGTTCCTAAATTCGTTACGCCGAGTCGTTTAACTTTCTCATCGTCGCGTGGTTCCCGCGGATTATTTAAATAACGCGCCATCCCCTTCCGCCTCGTTTCACAATTATCGATACGAGTCCAAGTTTTACAGTGATACACACGCTTACACGTATGTGGAGGTGATAGAACGTCCGTGAGAGAGTTTAGTGTGGTGGTATAGTTGCACGAAGAAAAAATGCTCGAGATAGAAGGATAGAGAGCGAAAGAGGAGTGTTTGGACGAGAGTATAGTCGGTGGAAGCGACATTACGAGGTCGTGAAATCTGTCACGATACGGGTAAGGTAAAAACAGCAATTCGAAGGAGATAAGCTCTAATCTCACTCAAAGCCATCGATATCAACACAGAATTGCTAATTTTTATCAATACGAAAATTACTATTGCGCAGGAAGAGACAGAAACTTAACCCCTTAACGCTCACGTGTTTCTCAGCTTGATGCGCTAAGTAAGATCAATTTTTTTCTTTCTTTCAATTATTTTCTAGGCGTATAGAAATTAATTTTAAAAAAGTGCACTTATAGGACGATTTCTCGTGCACGTGTGAGTCACAAGCAAGATCGTTAATGGGATAACACCGTTTATCTTAAACGAAAGATCGTAAGCAAAAATTTTAGATATCAATTAACAAATGACAGATAGCCGTGGGCGCGGCTACATCAATCAGTGTCGCCGCTTAATGCTTTAATTTACGAGCTGACTGTATAGCTTCCACCAACTGTACCTGAGAATCTCGTGTGAGCGAAGGATACGTGGCCATCCAAGGATTTGGGTTAAACGTCGGTTAAGAATGTCTGCGTAGAGTGAAAGGAACGGAGAAATAAAGAGAGACTGTGCAGATGCGAGAATAAATTAGAGTCAAAACGATAACAGAGAAAGAGAAACCTTGCAACCACTGTTACAGCGTATTCCTATAGCTATTTAAACGTATATATTTGCTATTGTTCCTGAAATTAGAGCAAAATTCGCCTATTGAACGAAAGTCCTTACACATACACACGTTCTCTGTCTCTTTCGTGCAAGTTAATGCTAATGCGGGGAGTTTAGAGGCAGGTTCGTTTGCATTCATGATATGGCGTACTTCTTGAACGATTAAAATTGCTAATCGCTTCAGCAAGACTGGATTGGTCGAGTGTTGTTTTTGGCTGCGAGAGAAGGGAGGAGGAGGAGGAGGTTATGTTCGAGGGTTCGTCGAGCTTCGCGATATCGCCTAACTATTTAGTATGTGCTGAACCAGAGCTTTCTCCCTCTGTGAATCGGTGAGAAGTTTAGTTATCAGAGAGAATGCTAATTAGCTCGCGGAATAATTCGCAGCGTTCGGTGAAGAACTCGAACACATGATTCGTTTTCACGTGCTCGTGCATTTTGTGCAACCTGACGATGTGGAGTGTATACATGTATCGTGCGACGGAAATTTCAATACGATATTTGCTTCGTTATTTACTACCATTCTTTCTGGGGGGGAGAAATGGATATTTTATGTCATCTCTGTTTCGAGAAAAATGGGAACGAAGCGAACGTGTTTCTTTAATCCAGAGATAAATTTCACGCCGTAATTCCGTTATTTTTACAATTGTAAAAAACACCACTGAATTTATTTGTACATTTCTCGAAATATTAGGAATTCTCGAAATGTCAGGAAAAATTCATTAGACGAACGTAAGGTGGTTACAAGTACGATAAGAGACAACGAGCTGTCTAATTTGCATTTTCGTAAAAGAGAGAGAGATTCGAGAATGCCACGCGAGCATGGTGCAAGACCAGAAGCGAACATTCCGCACAGAAGCGGATGGACCGCCACCACATTACACCGATACCCGATATCGAGAGCGTCTTCCTTTTAATGGATACGCCGATACGCGGACTGTTACCTCCGGCACACTTTTATGGCAATCAATCGAAGCCGTAAAACCTTCTCAAGTCAACACGTGACCCATACAGATCTGGTTTCCCCGGTGCTGACCACCACCGTTATAACGTCTCGAGGAATGTTACAACCTTGCCACGCTTCAATTATGTCCGTCTTGTTTATGTTCGGGACGTGTCGAATCGAGCTGAATCGTTCTTGTCCCTACTACGCGATTTGCAGGACGCGTGGAAAATTTCAAACAGCCCACCCCGAGGAAGCGTAGACAGTCTCTTAAATTACCGTCTTTGCAATTTGCTTCTGGGAATACTAGAATTACCTTCTTAACCCTTTCACTGCTTTTTCAAATTAGATTAATTCTACATTTTTCTCAGAATATTAGAGTTACCTTCTTAACCCTTTCACTGCTTTTGCAGTTTCCTTCTTGAAATGAAATTAATTCTATATTTTTCTGGGAATATTAGAATTACCTTCTTAACCCTTTCACCGCTTTCGAAGCTTACAGGTATTCTAGGAAAATTCTGGGACGATGGATAACATCGACGCCTCTAGACGCTTTTATTTTCATACATTACACTTAGGCCTGGCGACTCTTGGCCCTCGAGGCGAAGAATCGAGAAATGTTTTTCCAAACATCTCCGAGTTTCTTCGTCCTCGAGGACAAGAGTATTGCCTCGGCAATGTAGGCCCGCAGCCCCACTTCCTGGGACTTTCCCAGGACTACTTAATGGAGCCCCGAAAAAGGCACGTAGACCTCTGCACGCGTATCATATAGCTTACACTTAAAATTAGTTTAAGCATTACCGTTTCAATAAATATATTTTTGTTACCAAACTTCGCGAGTAATCATTTGCACCACGTCACTTCCAAACACGCTTCGTAGACACTGATTATTAACGCTACCTATTAATTTCAGCAGTCAAAGGGTTAAACGCAATCTAATATCATTGCCAAGAAAAAGGCTATTCCAACTAAACTTCAAGATTCTCAAATTTAATTTTCTATGATCTCTCGTGAGATAGAAACGCACAGTGTTCGCTCTTAGCGTTCCCCGATTGACAATCACGGAATAAAGAACGAGTTAAAAGTACCGTACGATCGGCGAATTCGTATGAGCAAATATGGGACTTACCTTAAGCTGATGTTGCGGTCGTCTGAGCGCACCCTGGTCCCGTCGTCCGCCTAGTCGATCGGCCTCCGCTTCCAATCCCTCCATCGAGGACTCAGCTTCGCTCAACCAAGCCAAGAACTTGTCCAGGGACCGGTCGAAGTTGTGGAGGGAGTTCATCGCGGAGTGCAGCAGTTTTCCTCGATTGATGATACTAAGAAGGATTTAATAGGTATAGCCTCGTCTCGATGCACCTTCGCAAAAATCGTCTGGCTCGCGTATAAACAGAGTTTCTTTGTCAGAGTTTCAGAGTTTCAAAATCGTTGGCACGCAACGCCCTTGTTGCCAGAATTTGTGTTTTTCTGGAAGTAGTTGGCTTCGCGAGTTCGCTTTCGAGTGAATATTTCAAATATAATTATTTATCGTTAATTTCGAACAAATTATTTTTACCGAAGACGTAGAAAACTCGTGAAATAAAATTACTCAAAGCTAAGTGCGGTGCTGATCAATTAATATTCATAAATCATCCCCTGAATTGGTGTCGAAAGTGGAAAATATTAAACCGAAAAATCAGAGCGCAAGGTTGAAACATCGATCCAAAAGTCGACATAAAATTCGTCACGGACTCGTGGGACGACCTAAGATAATTAAGACAAATCCTCGAGCGCGAACAATTCGACGTGACGCGAAATCCGCGTAAATAAATCCAGAACGGAAGCTTTACAGCGCGACATACCTGGTGTTCAGATTGTTGTATCTCTGATTGATGGTCTCGGTCATTTTTTTCACGCGGGTCGTGTCGTCCTCCTGATAAACGGCGATCAGCTTCTGCGTGAGCTGATTGAACTGCTCGATCTGATGCTTGTACTGATGGAGCTCGGCGTGGAACGACTGCAAGCACGAACGGCGACGAAATAAAATGAAAGGGGGGAAGGTCAGCGTCGAGGCGGGAAAGTTATCTCGCGACCAGCTTCCACTACGTTCACGGCGCGACGAGTCGAAAGTCGCTGTCTGCCGATAACTCACAGGGGGGAACTTAAATTTTCCTAGAGTAGAGGCTGCTGCGCCTTCTCCAACTTTTATGCCGCTATTCCGTACCGTGGAGAACTTTTATTTCGCGACTGATTCGCGTCGATAAAACTTACGATCATCCAGATTAAACCGTCGAACGAGAAAACGTGTTCCCGTTCAATTACCCCTCGGTGTTTTAATCTAAAAGTAACCGGGCGACGGAAACTTGGCCATTAGGGTGGATTGAAATTTCTTCGAGAAAGAAGATCTCGTAAAATTGCAAAAAAATTCGTAAACAAATTCGACAGCTGTTTTCCAGAGAAGATCGTTAATTCATCGGTAAACAGATCAATTACGATAATCCGAAGAGAAACAGATCGCCGGTGAACGTCTATAAAATCCACCCTATCACCGTTAAAACGAAACATACACACGAAAGTAGGTTCTCCCGCGAAGTACAGGGAGCTCGAGTATTATTTTAGGACCATCCTGAAGCGAGGAAAAACTCTTACCGTTGGATCGTAACAATACTCGGTAATTAAACGATCCCGCCCTATACACTCGCTCCTGTTTAAGCCTCAAAGGGTGAAAAAAGCTCGCTGTACGAAACAAAGGGGCCGACCGTTATTTTTTCACCCGACCTAGTGTGTAACGGTTACGTGGCTAAACAATATAGTAACGATGTATCGGTGAAAAAAGGATCCAACGTTCGGATAGTTTCAGCTGTAAATGAACGCGCGAAGAAAGGACAATATTCGACGAGGAGAGAGGGTAAACCGTTTGACAGAAACAGCGAGAGAGAGAGAGAGAAGAGC